TGAAGTGAGGGTTGCATTTTTCAGGCCACAACCAGGGTTAACTCAGGGCTCTTCACCCTTGGCTGTGCTTGGGGATCTTAATGAAGTGCTGAGGATCAAACAGGGGTTGGCTGTGTGCAAAACAAGTACCTTAATCCTTGTATTATCTGATCCCCTCAATTATATCACTCTCACCTTTTGAATTAGAATAACATGGGACTAATTTCAGCTTTATCAGTGATATTTTACACATACACACCCCCCCACACCACACCACACACATAAACACAGTCAATTAAATAATTTAAAAGAAAAATGTAAATTGTATGCACATATTTAATACATGCAAGCTTAAACTGAGTTTTTCATGAAACATTAAAAATTAAAGTGTTTCTTACAAAAGGGAATGCCCTGCCACAGAGGCAAGGTGGGATGGGGGGATGGGGGCGGGAGGGATACTGGGATCCGTGGAGGTGGAAAATGGGCACTGGTGGAGGGATGGGTATTTGATCATTGTATAATCGAAACCCAAGCACAAAAATTTGTAACTCTACAACTGTACCTCATGGTGTTTCACTAATAAAAATATAAAAAAAAATTCAAGTGTTTTTTTTTTCCAACTAGTTAAGAAGTAAGGAGAATGTTGCATTGAGCCAATACAGTGGTGATGAATTAAATAATAATAAAGCACACACTCAGTAGAATGGCCTGTTGGGACATCCACAAAGAATATTTTGTTTTTTCTTCAATTAGCTCCTGTAGCTTCTTCCCTTTCAAGAAACAAATAGTGCAGGCAAGCCTTCTTGGATGCATCAAACTCATTCTACTCTTGGGCATTATTTGCAGAGAAAGAATAGCTTTTTCAAATGTTACATATGCTGTAAATCAAAGCTCATGATCTGAATTCTTCAGTTTCTACTGAGCAGCATTACATACAGTTTACAACTGTGACTATGTGCTTGCAAACAGAAATGCTGGGCTTCATTTCTACTTGAAAGGTTTAGGAGACAGGACACTGCTTGGGCTGTTTACTTTAAAGGAGATTTAATACAGATAAAGTAAATGTTAGGCGATTATTTGATTTATGTCTTTGTGATTGTTTGGATAAATCATTAGTCTAAACAGGAGGAAATATAAATATCAGAGGTAAAAGTTGGAATTCCTGCTTTTCTGAGCACCACCCACACCAATCGGGTCACATGTGTTTATTAAATAATCTGTCATGTAGCATCTCTTTGCACCCAGTTCTTGGAAGAAGAGATTTCCAGTTGAGTAAAATGCTATGATTGTCCATCAGGGCTTCACGGGCAGATCATCAGGGACTCAAAAGTGGGTAAATAGATAGATAGCTCTAAATCCATGCAAAGTCAGGAGCAGTCATCTCACAGAAATAGCACACAGAATCATCTTCATTTTTCTAGGTTTTGGAAAATCTATCAAAGGAGAACTACCGGAACTGAATTTTTTACAGATGGTGCTTTTTTTTGTTGTTTATTTGTTTGTTTGGGGGCCACACTTGGCAGTGCATAGCTGAGAAGATAGGGAAGGGGAGGAAAGGAGGAAATAGGAAAGGAAAGGAAAGGAAAGGAAAGGAAAGGAAAGGAAAGGAAAGGAAAGGAAAGGAAAGGAAAGGAAAGGAAAGGAAAGGGAGTGGAAGGATAAGGATAGGACCTTGGAATATGGCAGGGAAGACAAGAGGAATGCAGTTGATATGGTTTCATCTTCAGCACATTATATGATTCGCTTAACACCTCCAGGAGTGACCCTGAGCACAGAGCCAGGAGTAAGCCCTGAGCACTGCCAGGATTTGCTCCAGCAGGCAAAATAATAATGGTTTTCAATAATCATTATATTTATTTATTTATTTTTGCTTTTTGGGTCATACCCGGCGATGCTCAGGCATTACTCCTGGCTCTGAGTTCAGGAATTACTCTTGGTGGTGCTCGGGGGACCATATGAGATGCTGGGAATTGAACCCGGGTCGACCTCATTCAAGGCAAACACCCTACCTGCTGTACTATCACTCCAGCCCAATAATTTTCAATAACTTAAGGACTAAGAATGTCTGACCCTCTGAACTTTAATATCTGTCCCTATTCTCCAGAAAAAACACTCATATTTGATGTCCTCTGTTCTCTCCCCTAGCCTTGAGAGAACTGCATGGAGTGTGAGGAGACTGCAGATTGCTTTGCAAATAAAGAAGAAAGGGAAGAAAAGGCAGCTTACTGTAAAATGATTAAGTTATTAATATTAAGAGACTGTCTTAAGAAGTGAAAATGGGATGCCTTTTTTAACTTAACCACAAGTTATAAGCTAATATTAAGTGACCATAAAATGCTATTAACCAATATTTACGTGGCATATTAAATTCTCTAAAACATAATTTTAATGTTTAAATTTTGTGTCCTTATAAAGACATTTGATTTTTTTTACCTACGGGCTATTTCTCTTTATAGACTTATCTTCTGCCATCACAAATTCTTTCTGCTTTTTTTTGATTCTTAGTATCTCTACTCTTTGTTTCTCCCTGCACCTTATTTTCTTATAATACCCACGCCTCACTGAGGTGCCAGGATACTCTTTCTCAGAATCCCTTCCATACTTTCTCCACTCTTTCCCCTCTGCTCTCGTTTTCCTGTGTCAAAGGGCCACAGGCATGAGCAAGATGCTTCTTTATTTCTCCTGACTGCAGAGTGTTAATAAACCCCAACTTGAGTAAACAATCTTCCTCATTGACTCCTTTTCTTCTTATGAATTCTGTTGATTGTGCCTTGTAATCTTCTTAAATATTTTTATGATCATCATTGTACAATTTTCTTTCTATAAACCCTTGTCACATTTCTGCAATTATAATGTAAATATCCTAAATTAATCTTTGCTTGCAAAGGCTTTTGCTTGAACCCTGTGCAGTTCAACTCACAAGTGATGGGCACAGTGTCTATTATGCACTTAAAATATGATTGCTGCATCTACATAAATCCAATTTCAGTGGATTTCAATGCTAATTTCTTTCCATTTCATCAATTAATTTTTTGTTATTTCCTTAGAAAACCTCTAAGCATCTTTGACAAGCTAGCACATGAATCTACTTTCAACTAACTTTATTGAATCTAAAATCATATCAAGTACTTTAGATGAGATTTTATAGCTAAATTGAAATGTGCTGCATACATCAAACACAGGAAGTTACAGGCCTAAAGTTTACATTAAATATGACACCAATTACTATACAAACGGATTCCACGTATAAACAATATTTTAAATCTATCATGCTAAATTGAATCTATTTTCATATTTATTTCACCTACTTCTTAGTACTCTCTTAAATATGCTTATTTGAGAAATTGGAAATTATATTTGTGACTATATCTAACAGTTGTCTGTCAGACGCATGATCTACCTGTCATCGGTAGTAAAGTTATTCATATCTTCATTTGCTTCTGGTTGCCTTTCCCTGTGGAATATCTGACCACTGGCATCTTGTAGTCCATCTCACCTGAACAGCTGGGGCGCTTGTGCCCGGGCCCCAGCATCGCCTCATGAATGTGCCCTTTATCTCCCAGGCTGAGAGTCAGCTCTCCTGCTCCGACTACCTACCTGTTGGAACACTTTGCCTCTTACCATGCTTCATAACTGTTTCTCTGTCCCACTTCACAAGACAAAATGAAACAAAACCTTGCGCTTACTAGCTGGCTTCGGAGAATCAACCCCGAAAGTCACCTTTTCCTGTTGGCACCTGCTGCCTCCTTTCTGATTAACAGGCCTTATCTGGACTGTGCCGCCTCACGTGTCTCACTGACTCTCAAACCTAGGGACTCCTTTCAAAAGTCCAGAAACCCAGAAACTCCTATCTAAGGAAATTTGTATGAATTAATAAAATCCAAAAGAACTTTGTTGCTGCTAATTCACAATGACAAAAACTGTACCATAGATAAAGAGTCACAATTCTGCATTGAAGATTCTTCATTCTAAGTCTATAAAACTACAAATTTCAGCAATTGAATTTACACCTGGTCACTAAAACCAAGGTAGTACCACGAGTCCGTGGCTTTGTCTGATTCTGCTACTGTGACTGATTTTTTTGTTTTGTTTTGTTTTCAAACTATTCCCAGACTTTATCCTGGCACATTCTTTCCAACAGTACAGTACAGCTTCCTTGGTCACATCTCCTTCCTTTACCCAGGAACTTTGCAAATTTGTGACCCAACTCTAACTGGTCACTTTATATCAGTCATTTTTCCCGATAATTAGCTTATCACATGTTGAAATGTCTCACCAAAATTCCTGTTTTTAAAAACATTTATTTAAATGCTTAAAATTATATTCTCTAAACAGAAAAAAGTGTTATAATTTTAGAGTAGTTTGGTTTTTCATCGTAGAGTATATTTAGTATTGACTCCATTATTAGAAGCCCAAAGCTTGAGATTAGACAACCTAAGTCATCTTCATTTCCAGGGACATCATCACCCAAAGAGGAATGGAAAAGCCCTTGACCTAGCAATCAAGAAGTAAGTCACTCTTACAATGTGAAGGATATGTGTGTCCCAGTGGGGTAATGTCCACAGAAGAGAAAACCTAAAATATAATAAACATTTACTTGTTTATATTTTTCTCTTCTATAATTACCATAGTGATCTCTTGCCTGATTAAAAAAAAAAACATCAACAGAGAAAGAAGATAGGTCTCAGCTGTGCTCTTAACAGAATTATCATGCAAAAAATAGTTTTCTAGTGTTATTAAAGTTTAACCCACTTATGCTAACTTAGTGAATTAAATAAGCATGATTTAGTACAGCAAAAACATAAATTGCATTCCCTTGCCAGAGAAATCCTTCCTGAGGTTATTCAGTAATGTCTATCATTTTAAATAATTTCCTATTTTGAATTTTTGCTCAATTTTTACTTTTATTCTCATTGGTTATTCTAAACCAATTACAAAAATCAATGTTTTTGAAATTCCTGCTAGTTTAAATTCCTAATAAGCTATGTGATGTTCAGAGTGTAACTCAAACTTCTTGGATTTCAAGTGAATTCAACTGCTTTATAAATTTTTGCCATCCTAGTAATATTGTTCCTCTCCACAAAAATCTTTAGTAAAAGGCAAAAGATTTGTGCGATCTGAAGAGAAACCAGAGTATGTAGGGCGTTTGCCTTGTGTGTGGCTGGCCCGGCCAAGTCGTGTTCGATTCCTCCATCCCACTCGGAGAGTCCTGCAAACTATCAAGAGTATCTCGCCCGCATGACAAAGCCTGGCAAGCTACTTGTGGCGTATTCGATATGCCAAACACAGTAACAACAAAGTCTCACAATGGAGACATTACTAGACCCGCTTAAGCAAATCGATGAACAACAGGAGGACAGAGCTACAGTGCTAGTAATATATTTTCTTCTCTCATAAACATGCTGATGTCTAATTTTTTTCTTATTTTCATAACATATATCTATATATCTGTTCTGATATTTGTACCACTAATGTAGTAGTGATTTTCTGGCTTGAGTAAGTATCAGTAATGATGTAGGCGACTTGATATGACAGATTGATTCTTCCTGCTCCTCTTTAGGATCTAGTTCTGGAGACAAGTTGAGAGTTTGCATTCCCATCTAGTTTCCATATGATGTTGATGTTGCTGCCACAGTTTGAGGACTAAGGTAACAGGGAAATTTTCTCAAGTGAGCCAGAAGTGAAATTGGGATATGTTTGAATGCTATCTTCTTATCTCCAAACCAACACTCTAGAATCATTCCCTGCTTAGTTTTTCTGATGTTGGCAATCAGATCAAGTTTATGTAAAGTTCCTAACCTGTAAGGAGCAATCAACATACAGGGATAGACACCCAACCCTGCTATCTCAGTAGATACACCTCCACATTGCAACCATCTGCCTGTTCCCTCAACTTTTCAGGTGAGGTTAACGTCCCAGCGGACATCTCTTTGGAACCAGAGGTAGATTCTTCTCCTTCTGACAGGCCCAGCACCCTGCATGCCTAACCTCCACCTCCACATCAAGATTTTCTGCTTGCTCATTCAACCTTCTAGGTCAACATCCCCTACTCATGCCCACAACTCCACTTGCTGATGTTTATACCCAGTACCACATGGCTGCATATGCATGGCAGTCTACTGGTTACACCTCAAACCACACACAATTGTACCTCCCATCACTGCATGAGAACTGGCAGGGAAGGAATTAAGAAACACTCCGCTGGAATCCATCAGAGGTTCCTAGAGTTATTAACAACAAAGTTTCACCCCCAGCACAGCAGGAGCAGAGCAAACATGATGGGGACAGGATGCTGCATAAAACTTAATATGATCAGTGAGTGAAAATAATAGCGCAGAAGCCTTCACCAGCTCTGTAGACTCTCAGAGAATGACTTTAGTGATACTGTCTACAGAATGTTAAATGAATTCAAAGAAACGATGGCACAGGTGGTCAGCAAAGCAAAAATATTAAAATATAAATAAGAAAACTTCAATCAGAAATAACGTAAATTAAGAGTATGGTAAGTGATACAAGAATTAATAGAAATTCTGAACAGCAGAATAAGATTGAGTAAAAATATTGGTAAGCTCCAAGATTAAATGCATAAATTCACTTGAAAACAACTTAACATGGAAAAAGGTTGAAAAGAAAGGGAGCATACCAGATAACTATGGGATGAATTCAGGAGGAACAGTATCAGAATCACTGGAGACCCTGAAGTGATCAAGAAACAATAGTGAAAGAAATAATACACAAAACTTTCCTAGTGTTGAATGAAGACACCCAAATCTAAGAAACCTGAAAGATCCCAGAAAAAATAGACCTTAATATAAAAACTCCAAAGCAATGGCTGGAGTGATAGCACAGCAATAGGGCATTTGCCTTGCATGCAGCCAGCTCAGCCTAGCCAGGTTCGATTCCTCTGCCCCTCTCGGAGAGCCCGACAAGCTACTGAGAGTATCTCACCCACACGGCAAAGCCTGGCAAGCTCCCCGTGACGTATTCGATATGCCAAACACAGTATCAACAAGTCTCACAAAAGAGACATTACTGGGCCCGCTCGAGCAACTCAATGAACAACAGGAGGACAGTGCAGTGCTAATGAAAACATACAGGACAGAATATTAAATGCAACAAGATCAGAAAAGGATCTTATATACAAAGGAACTACCATGAGATTCACACAAGAGATCTAAAATATGAGACTCTATGAGCCAGACGAAAATGATGTGATATATAGTAAGAACAAAAACAAAACAAAACATAAAAACTTCACCGAGAATACTATATCCAGGTACATTATCATTGATATTTTAAGAAATGATGAGACGATCTATAAATAAGTAACAACTTGGAGAATTCACAGTGCTAAAACCAGCTTTGCCAGAAACAGATGAGTTCTTTAAAGATAAGACAATCACCTCAGTACTTTGCATTGAGTATGGAGTTCATTTATGGTGTTCAGGCTTTCCCTCTTCCATGATAAAAAAAGGTTTATTTATGTCTGGCTTGAAAATGGTTTTATATTTTTTCAATAATAATTTGTTTCCTATAGGTTGATTATTCAATCTATGTCTCTTCAATATTTTTACATCTATAGAGATTTCTATTAAATAGTTTTCTTACTAAAGAAGGCCTTTAAGCATACGTAATCTATTAATACAATATATTATAACATAAATACAGTGTTCCCTTTTTAGGATAAAACTCAATTTATACTTTAGCAGTTCTAGTATTTTCCATTAAATTATTTTGTAATTATCCTTACTCATCAAATTGTACACTTGAAAGATTGATCTTTTTTACATTAGCATAAAATTTTTCATATCATTATTTTTAAAATTTGTACACCTATAAAAGAAAAGCGGGCTGGAGCGATAGCACAGTGGTAGGGCATTCGCCTTACAAGCGGCCAACATGGCCGACCCGAGTTTGATTCCTCCGCCCCTCTCGGAGAGCCCCGCAAGCTACCGAGAGTATTCGATATGCCAAACACAGTAACAACAAAGTCTCCAATGGAGACATTACTGGGCCCGCTCGAGCAAATCGACGATCAACGGGAGGGCCTTTACCTTTACCTTTATAAAAGAAAAGTACATACAGTTTTTGAAAAATATTTTATAAACTTATTTAAATTTAAATTTTTGTGGAATTTAATTTAGCTTTATTCATCTACATATATTTTGGTGTCACCTTCTCCACAATATAAAAAAACTCTCATAAGTGGGATATAAAGAAACAGAGTACAGAAGCAACAAATGGCCAAAGATATTGGGAAGCACAAGAAACTTTGTCTACAGGACTGAGATTACCTGGGATGAGGGTGGGTTAGGGCACTTTGGACTGTGTTGGAGGGGAGAAGTACTCACTCTGTCGGTGGGTTTGGTACTAGAATGTTGTAGGCATGAAAGTATAATTAGCAGCATTGTAAATCACTGTTCGTTCAATAAAATATGTATATATACATACATTAATGAAAAATAGGGAGGGGGGGTGAAATGATAGCACAGTTGATAGGGAACTTCCTTGTGCAAGTAACTGACCAGATTTGATCCTGCCACCTTATGTGATCCCCTGAGCCCACAGCACAGATTACGGAGATAAGAACCTAAAGTAAGTCTGAGTACCACCAGGTGTGGCCCAGACAAAAAAATTCGGAACGGTCAGCCTATATTTTGATTATTTAATCTTCAATGCATCTTCATTAATTGCATCCCTTTATAATTCTGTTTTCTTGGAAACCTAGAGTAAACAAAGGTATGCCCATCAAGCACTTTTGTTTGTTCATAATTTACTTTTTAATTGAATCATCATAAGATATAGTTACAAAGCTTTTGTGGTGAGGTTTCAGTCATACAATGTTCTAATACCCATCCCTCCACCAGTGTATATTTCCCACCACCAATATCCTCCATATATCTCTCTAACCACCCCTCAGCATGCCTCTATGCTCTATAGTAGGCACTTTTCTTCTCTCTCTGTTTCTCTCTCTCTCTCTCTGTGTCACTATCTTTCTCCCTCTCCTTTTGGGGATTATGGTTTGCAAAGCAGATACTGAGAAGCCATCATGTTTGGTCCTTTACTAACTTTCATCACATATTTCCCATCCAGAGTGATCCCCTTCAACCACCTTGTCATAAGTGTCACTCCCCTATCCCAACTGCCCTCTCCCCCAGCCCTTGAGGCAGGCTTCCAACCATGGACCATTTGTCCTGCCCCTTGTTTCTACTATCCTTGGGTGTTAGTTTCACATCATGTTTATTTTCTATATCCTACTGTGAGTTTCAAAAGAAGGACCATGAGCATGCATGGGACTCGAGCATTCGCTGACCCAGAGCCATTCCCCTGGCCAGCCCACAGCGATGGACAGATGAAGGACTAGGGAACAGAGAAACAGGGCCCCAAGATCTTTGGTAGTCAGTTTGCTTCTCTCTCCTCCACAGGGTAGTTCAATCTCTCCCCTGACAGCACAATCTTAGTCATAGTTTTGGCTATAGTCCCAGTCATCATAGTTTCATCATCTTCATCTCATAGTCTTCCTCTTTCTAGTCCAGCTCACTCTTTTTTAGCATTATTTTACTCTTTTATCCTGTGGGTTTTTTTTTTAGGCTTACAAATTTTGTGCTTGGGTTTCAGTTATACAATGATCAAGTGCCCATCCCTCCACCAGTGCCCGTCATCCATCACCACGGGTCCCAGCACCCCCCCCACCCCCCACCCCCCACCCCCGTCCCATCCTGCCTCTGTGGCAGGGTATTCTCCCTTGTTCTCTTTCTCTTCTTTTGGGTACTGTGTTTTGCAAGAGAGGCATTGAGTGGCAGTCATGTTTGGTCTATAGACTACTTTTAACATGCTTCTCCCACCCTGGGAGGGTCCTCACAACACCCTTCATTTGGGTGTTATATAGAAATCATGGAGGGTGGGATACACATAAGTGGGGCTGAACGCTGTCATAACAACAAACATGTAAATCCACTCCTTCAGGGGAAGTTCTAGAAGATTAACTCAAAGGCTGGAGCAATAGCACAGTGGGTAGGGCATTTGCCTTGCATGTGGCCGACCCAGTTTCGATTTATCTGTCCTTCTCAGAGAGACTGGCAAGCTACTGAGAGTATCCCTCCCACATGACAGAGCCTGGCAAGCTCCCAGTGGCGT